CTATGAAGTCCAACTTGATATAGAAGCCGGAGTAAGTACTTACCAATATTCTCTGTCAGGGTTCCAAAACGTAGCTATACTACAACATACCCCCCAAGCCTTATTCTAATCATGAAGGCCCTTGCGGTACCCAAAATCAGGTGCTAAGTTGAGTTCTTGACGTCCGACGCCAAGTGAGGCATTGTTTGTCTGCATGGAATTGCAGAGTATATTACAGGGGCCTTAATAATTACCTATACTACTTTGGGGTTCCTTATTGCAATTATAGTACACTTGGCCCCAAAACCCTATTCTAATTAGTAAGGCCGCTATACTAAATCCTTATAGTAGCCCTTGTAGTAACCCTTGTAGACCCCTTTTAAAAGGAACCCTATTCTAATTACCAAGGCCCCCCTATCACAGCCTTCAGACTGGGTTCTAAAGGTCCTAAAGCCGTAAACCTTGAGGCTGAACTCTAGACCGCATGATGATCCTGGCTAGTGTTTGCGGTTTAGGGTTTAGGGTTTAGGGTGTGTTTGGGGCCTTAAAAATTGGAATAGGGCCCCTTTGAAGGGTTCCTTCAAAAGGGGTCTATAAGGGTTACTACAAGGGCTAGTATAAAGATTTACTATAAGGGCCTTAATAATTGGAACAGGGTTTTGGGGTAAATAATACTATATTCATAATAAGGAACCCCCAAAATGGTGTATGTGATTATTAAGGCCCCTATTTCTGTCTCGATATTGTGTTCATGTATTCGGCGTCTTTGGGAAACGAATCACAGGGCAAATTCCCGAGGGTCAGAATTGCGCCTTTCCCTTATTTATAGCCCCAATTACTAAGCCCCATGCTCCTTTAAGTAGCTAGAACAGAGGTCTGAATAATCAGTAGTAGCTTAGTAGCTTTGCCTCGTAGTGATTCGTATGCTAATTGTTTTAGGCTTTGCTGGACATCCTAAGCCCTTGTAGGAGCCACCTAAAAAGAAACCCCTAAGGAACCCCTTAAGGCACATGGACCAATAGGTTTTAGTTTTGCAAGGCTTCCATTAAAGGGCCATTCAGGGGGCTCCTGGTACCTGAACTAATACCCTAAACTCTAGACCCTAAGCCCTCAACCCTAAACCCTACCTACACTTTAAGAAGCGTTCAAGCCTCTGCTAGGCTTCTTACACCAGGAGCGCAGGACAAGACTGCGGGGATCTCGGATGGATCTGGTGAGGGAGCACTGGGTTTAGGGTTTAGGATTGTAGGGTTCAGGGTTTTTTAATGGGGATTTCGACTTTTTAGGTTTGAGGGTTTTAGGGTTTTAGGGATTAGGTTCTAGGGTTTGGTGTTCAAAGTTTAGGGTGTCAGGGATTCGTATTAGGGTTGGGGGTTTTGAGGATTATGCGCTAGAGTTTGGGGGTTGGAATCCAGGCGGTTGTGGTTTGTGAAAGGTCAGGTGCGAGGATTTGATTGAGGGCTATGGTTCGCTCTGCCTTTGTTGGTTTGCCCTAGTTGGAGATTGACGCATAGCTTCAAGCTAACCCCAGGACCCATGACCGCAGTTCGGCGCCCTACTCTGTTTCCAACGTTCCCTACCCGTGCGCTTGGATCAACTCTTCCCGGACCGCAGTGTGCCATGTTGTCCTTAAGCCTGAAATCATAAATCCTGACCCTTCCACCCCTCACACCCTAAACCCAAAGCCCCATAAAACCCTAAACCCCGAGTCCCCTGCAAACCCAAAGCTCTAAAGCCTAAACCATAAACCCAAGCCCTACACCCTCGACCATAAGAGCCCTCAACAACAACAAAGGACAAGACATCTTAAACCATAGAGCTTAAGAGCCTTCTATATAAGGGTGGTTGTCAAAATTATGGCCCCTGTTTGGGGTAACCTAAATATTAGGTGCCGTAGTATAATATGGACCCCAAAAGGGACCATAGTTTTGACAACCACCCATAAAGAAAGAAAAAGCATAAGCGCGCCAAGGCCCAAGATTGGAGGCCTAAGCCCTCAAGCCATACCCTAAACCCTAAACCCCTAAACCCTAAACCCCCCCAGCCCGGAACCCTAAACCATCAAGCCCTAAACTCTATAAGCTCCACATCCCAAACAATGAAGAAACCCGGAGCCTGAACATTCAAACCGCGAGAGCTCTTAACAAAAGTAGACCCGAAGTCCCTATAACCCTAAAAACCACCAAAAAACAAAGCTAAAGCCAAATAAACACGAAACCCCCTGCACCCTAAACCCAAAGCCCTAAACTCTAAACCCTAAACCACCAAACAAATCCTAAACCCAAAGCCTTAAACTCTAAACCCTATACCACCAAAAAAATCTATCCCCAAAGCCCTAAACCCTAAACTCCCTACCCCGAAGAATGGAACCCTGGAACCCCTAAACCATAAAGCCCGAAACGCTATCACCCTGGCCAAGAAACAAACCTAAACCTCCTAAACCCTAAAGCCCTAAACCCTATAACCCCAAACCACACCCCCAAAACCCTAAACCCAAATTCCTAACATTCCAACGTTAAAACCCAAACCTTAACCCCCAAAGCCCCGAAGAACCCAGGCGCCCCTTCCAAGGAACCCTATTTTAACTATTCAGGATTAGAAAATTCCTGCGGTTGATGATATAAATCCTGCATGGCCTTAATGACCCTACACTATGGGAATTATGGTATATTCCTTATTAAGGGTAGTGCAGGATTTATATCATCAACCGCATTCTAACTATTCAGGATTATTCCTTGTAGTATATTAAGTAACCTTTAACCTTTTTTGGGTAGTAAAGCCCCTATATAATCCCTATATAACCAAAAGGTTAACCTTTAGTTCCCGATGATACCCGACAAGTAGGAACATCTCCTAAACCCTAAAACCTCTAAACCGCAAACCTTAATCCCTAAACCCTAAACCCATAAACCCTTCAAGCCCTAAACCCTAAACCCCTAAGCCCTTAAAAAAAAAAAGTACAAACCCCTAAGCTCTCCGAGGCGAGCTCCCGGACTTCGTCGAACTCCTCCATGTCCTTCTTCGGAAGTGCCCTGAGGCCCTCCTTGGGTTTAGGGCTTCTTTAAGGGATCCTTTAAAGGGATCTATAAGGGATCCTTTAAAGGGATCCCTTAAAGGGATCCGTGTTTGTTTCGGGGTTTTGGGGTTAGGGGGTTCAGTGGTTTAGGGTTGTGGGTGGTTTAGAGTTTTTTTGGTGGTTTGGGGTTTTGGGCTTAGGGTATAGGGGTTTAGGGGTTAGGGGTTTAGGGGTTTTACGGTGTTGGGGGCAGTTGGTGCTTCAACGGGAATTTTTGTGATTGGGGGTTTAAGTATAGGGGTGAGGGATTTCTGAGTTTTGGCTGTGTTTTAGTTTGGGGCACTTGAGTTGACTCTAAACGCCAAACCCGTAAAGTCTAAACCCTGAAAACCAAATCCTCAACCTTAGACCTCAAACCCTTAAGCCCAGAACTCCCAACCAAAAAAACCCAACAGCCCTAGCCCTAATCTCCGTTGTAGGTTTCTTTGCTCAAACCTCTATAGTTAGGGTCCTACAAGGTAACCCAAAAAAGGATCATTATAGGCAAACCTCAAATGCCTCAACTCCACGAGCCCTGTAACAACCTCAAACCCTAAGCCCAGGACCCTCAAGCCTAAACCCCCAACCGTAAACCCCAACTGCCTCAACTCCCTGAGGCCTCATTTGCTGTAGCTTTGTTTCTTAATTATGGGGTATTGGGCTCTCTCCCCAAGGGTCCAAGTACCCAACAATCATAAACTCTCCAAGATCCTAACCTACATAACTACTATCCTAGAACCGAGTACCTACTTATTAAGGCCCATCCGATAGAACCCTCATAGTAACCTTTTGAAAGGAACCTTATAGAACCCTTCAAAGGAACCCAAATTATTCGGCCCCTTGGACCCTTGGGGTCTCTGGGAACTTCTGTGAGGCCTCACGACACCAGAGACTCCAATATCCCTTAATGAATATTCCTTAAATCATATTAGGGATCCTACTATATTTCAAGGTATTTTCCTTAATTAAGGGATATTGGAGTCTCTGGGTGGGCTTTCTGGGAACTCTGTGAGGCCACACGACATCGACTGGACACTTCCCTCCGCCCGTGGTGAGCGGCAGGCGGCGCAGGCAGCGGAATGGAACGCATTGAATTGGGGTTTACTTAAAGGACCAGGGGACTTTGTAAGTGGGGTTATATGTAAGGTAACTATAGCTATAATTACTTATAACCCCAACTAAGGTACTTATAACCCTACTCACTAAGTCCCATGATCCTCCAAGTAGGGGCTTAGGCAATTAGCAATATTGTTCTTAGGGTTCCTTATTATAAGTGTAGTATAATATACCCCCAAAGCCTGTTCTAATTATTCAGGGGCCCCGACAATATGCTTTTGTTGTTCTTCACATGGAGGTTCTGTATGAAGGGTTCCATGAGGATCCTACAGGGGCTCCAGTAGCCATATAGTAGGGTTTTAGGTCGCAAAATACTGAAGCAAGTGGTCTGTGCGGTCTTTGGTATCTGCATGTAAAACCCGCAAGGACCATGAGATCTGAGGTCGGGAGTGGGATTTGGAGCGAGGGTTTCGGGCTTCACGTGATGGTTGTCCTGTGTCTCCAGGTACTTAAATACTGGTCCCTACTGCTTTCAGAGTCCTTACTCTAGGAAGTCTCAGAACCAGATTCATGCAGACGGCAATCTTTGAAAGCCTTCCTGTGAGCTGTACAGCCGCAGTACGAAACTTGGGCTGGTAGCCGATGCCCTCATAACAAAAGCCTCGATCATGAATTGGTCCGCAAAGCTGAACGACTCTAATCCTAGATCGCTAGTTGTGTATTTTAAGTATGGAAGGAGTCAAATGTCGCGACAGCTTTCAAAAAACAAAAGTTTATAAGCATAAATCCTAGCCCCTCACAACCACGGATCCCTAAAACCCCAAAGTTAAAATCCCCCAGCCAAAAAATCTCATCGGGAGGGTTGTCCGTTTCCGCCATGGCTCGCGCTTTAGTACTGGCAGCCTCGCTAATGGCTGCGGCAGAAGGCGGCAAGGGCGAGCAGCCCTTCGAGATCCACCTTATACATGGGGAGGTTTAGGAGTTTAGGGTTTAGATGTTTAGGGTTTAGGGTTCGGGAGTTTAGGGTTCAGGTTCAGGAGTTTAGGATTTAGGGAGTGGGATTTAGTATTTGGGAGTTATGACTTCCGTCTTCGATTGGGGTTCAGGGTTTTTGGGTTGAGGGCTTAGGGTTTTAGGCTTTAGCAGGGAGGTTCTTAAAATTTAGGATTCCCTCTCTTTTGGAGGCTAAGGTGCTACAATTTTGATTTTGGAGGGGCATTATGTCTGCAACTTTTTCGGGCATCTGAAAGCATGAACCTCAAAACCTCAGGGCGCTTAGCTCAAAAGCACCAAATCTTGTTTAGCCACCTGTTTTTAACGCTGTCCTTCTTCGTTTGTCCGAATTTGTCTTCATCTGTTGCTTTTTGTCTTCACTGTTAGGCAATGTATCAAGGATGGGCTGCCGTCTTGGGTTCTCTTCCCATGCCATTCTTGCAGGGTCGGGGGACTTAGTAAGTAGATGTATAAGCATCATAACCTCACTTAGGGTCCCTTTCAGGGGTACTTACAACTCTATAATTTAAAAGAGCTACTTGCTAAGCCCCGCACTACACCCTGACACCCTAAAGCTCTAAACCTTAAACCCCAGACCCTGACGCTTGACACCCTAAAACCCTAAACCCCTAAACCTTAAACCGACCCTCCAAGTAAGGACAACGCAGACGTTCCAAGCTGGGTGCCGGGGCTTCCCGGCATCGACCCGGGCACCATCCATTTCACCTATGCCAAGGCAACAGAGATGTGTTGATAGGTTTAGGGTTCAGGGTTTATAATTTACTTAGGGCTTACGGTTTAGGGTGTATAACTCGGGGTTTAGGTAGGGTTTAGGGTGCATTATGTACTTAGGGTCTTCGGTTTAGGGTGTATAATTCGGAGTTTAGGTAGGGTTTAGGGCTTAGCTTAATGCTAAAGCGGGATCTTTAAGGCTAAATATTTGCTGAGAGTTGTCTCAACGGTTCTACAAGGGTTTTGCAAGAGGTTCAGGGTCTTGGATTCCGGGTCTTTACTTTAGAGCCCTGGGCCAGATTCTTGGCATGCTGAGTGATACTGAAATCTGTTATTGCCTTCACCGTTAGTTGTGATTAATATTGATGTTATTGTTAGTCTTGTTACTTCCGTTATTAACAGTTGTAACATCTTCTACTAAACCCTCAAACCGTCTTCTATTGCTGAAATCAGGGCTGCAGACCGTTTAAGGCTTAGGTGTTCATGAGCTTTTATAACTGGGGTTACAGCAGGTCGGCAGTAGCCAGCAACAAGTCGAGGTATTGTACCTAGGTATCCTTATCTATAACTTGTAGGTTCTTGTGCACCCCCCCCAAGTTGCTTGCAGAGACCGCCGTTCGAGATTTATGAGGAGCAAATCCGTGTATATGAGTTCGCTACTTCTACGGTGGATCCCTCGCCCAGCACAGCTCCCCGATGTAGGCTCTTAGGTTCTGAGTTCGATATATGGGAGTTTCCAAACATTGGGGGTGCCTCATTTTGGGGTCCTTGTAATAAGGATCCCACTATTTAGGGTACTACATTAGGGTCCCCCATTTTCGGAAACTCCCTTAAAGAACCCGGAAAAAAGATCCAGGATTTGTTTACTCAGTGTCAAACCTTTCAGCTCCCAGCCGAGCCGCCTTCTACCCTTCTACAACCCTGAACCCCGCGTGCTCGAACCCAAGCACGTAAAGACATGTACAAATGTTTCCAACCCGGGCCCAAGGGCAGGTCCAGCTGAAGCATCAAAGCACAACATAACTTCGAAAGCAATGTAGTTCCTGCCACTATGGGGTGATATACTTGCACTAGAATATGCCCAAAACCCTAGTCTAATCAGGTCTATTCATCAATGCCCTCCTCTACCTAGACCCCCTCAACTACCCTCTAATACGCCCTAATACCCAAGTTTAAGGACCACAAGGGCTCTATTAAAGGGCACTTGGGGGGTCCGGGTAGTCATTATAACCCTTATAGGGCAGTTTCTAAAATTGGAGATAGGGTATCCTTATATAGCACCCTAAATAGTAGGATCCTTGTTATAAGGACCCCAAAGTAGGGTACCCCTATTTTATGGCGTCCTGGTAGTACAAAGCTGCGGAGGACTCGTTGGAGATCTTGCTGCTGATCCTTCTCGGAGTGCGGCTTGGCTTAATGGCTTTAGGGTTTAGGGTTCAGGGTTTAAGGTTCAGGGTTCAGGGTTTAGAGTTCAGGGTTTAGGGTTCAGGGTTTAGGGTTCAGGGTTTAGGGGTTTAGGGTTTAGAATAACTGAGGCTTCTCGGTGATCGGAGCGGCGGCATGTGACTTTTTCCGGATATCAGGCTTTGCAGGGCCCCTGAACGGACCCTGCACCCTAGACCGCCTTAAAGCCTTAAACTTTAGCAGATACGGCTTTTCGGAGTTCCTAGGGCTGAGGAGTTGAGGATTCAGGGTTTTGCAAGCTCTGATGTGGGGTTTAGGGGCTTAGTTTCTGTTCAGGGTTTTAGGGTCGATATGGGTTCCAGGTGTGCACGGTCTGTTGAGTTTGGGATTGTTTAGGATGTTTGTTGTTGTAGGGGTGTTGTGCTTTTAGCGTTTAGGAGTGTGTGGGGGATAGAGGTGTGCTTAGGGGCCCCCTGAGAAGCCGAAGCTCGAAGCCCTACTTTCAAAGTAAGCCCTGATAGCCTTGAACCTCTAATCGTCTAAGCTGTGTAATGACCTGCAAGACAAAAACCCTAACCCCTAAACCCTAAACCCCTAAGTACTCTAAGCCCTAAATCCCTAAGCCCTAAACCCAGGGTCAAAGGTGTGGTGCATTACACTTAAAAAAACCCTAAGCACTCTAAAACCCTAAATCCCTAAGCCCTAAACCCGAAACCCCTAAGCACTCCAAACCCTAAATCCCTAAATCCCTAAACTAGTAAGCACTCTAAACCCTAAATCCCGAAGCCCTAGACCCCTAAGCACTCTAAACCCTAAATCTCGAAGCCCTAAACCCCTAATCACTCTAAACCCTAAATCCTGAAGCCCTAAACCCGAAACCCTAACCTGTAGGACATGTGACATGGTCACCAAAAATCTCCGAATAGAGACCCCTTCGACTCCTTGCACGGGACGTACGTTGGGGATGGTCTCTACCCAGACCCCCGGGAGGATCTAGAACGTAGAGTTTAGGGTTTAGAGTTTAGGGTTTAGGGTTTAGGAAGTAGATCCCCTAATTTGGGGCCCTATACTGCTAAGGGTACTTTATAGGAATTCCCATTAAAAAATATATTTTTTGGATCCTCCCGGGGGTCTGGGTAGGGATGCCCTGCAGGGACTACGATTCGTGGTCGCGGGCCCCTGATATTTAAGCCCTACATCCTGATTGTAAATCCTGAGAAGGCCCTCCTTAACCCTAAACCCCTAAGCCCGAAACCCTAAACCCTAAACCCCTAACCCTAAACCCCTAAACCCTAAACCCGAAACCCTAAACCCCTAAACCCTAAACCCGAAACCCGAAACCCTAAACCTGGACTGCTTACCCCTAATTAAACCCTGAGCCCCAACCCTAAACCCCTCATCCTGAACTCCCCGAACCCTACCTGTAGTCTCCATTGTAGTTCCTTTTTTTGGTTAACCAAAATCTCTATTCTAGGATCCTAGCCATAAACCTGGTTAACCAAAAAAAGGAACTACAATGGAGACTAAAGGGAAGCCCTAAATCATATGAATTGAAGGTATATTCCCTTTAGATCCCTTGTAGATCCCTTACAGATCTTTTTAAGGAACCCTTTAAGGAACCCTAGGGCATGCCCTGAATCAGGATCTACAAACGCCGAGTCACTGACAAGCGACGGCAGCTCCCTGCTCCGGGTCCCAGACGCGACTCTCGATGTTGGCACAGGAAAGCTTTCCTGAACCTGAAGGACCAAATGACCCTTAAAAGTTAGGGCCCTATACCATATATAGTATGAACCCCTATATGGTATATGAACCTTAAACCCTTTTAGGGTTCATTTTGACCTTAAGGAAGGGTCCATGTACCCAAATAGTATATGCTTTGGCCTTAAAGTAGTCCCTATATAGGTGCTTGGGGGGGGGGGGGGGGGGAAAGTATGTGTATATATATATATATATATATAATGGGGCACATGGACCCTTAGGGAAGCTTCAATCTAGTTCTTGGGCTTCCGGTTTAAGGGTTTGGGTTTCGGGCTTGTGGTTCCGTTTTTTTGGTTCGGGTTCATCGAAGCCTTGTCGATGCGTCTACACTCGCGGGGTTAGCCGTTGAAACACTGCCGAAGGAATCTCTCCGAACTGCAGTCTTTGTATTCCCTGCTCCACCATGCACAGATTCGAAGTTCCTACCTGTCATCGACAATGGTTTAGGGCTTAGGGTTCAGGGTTTAGGGGTTTAGGCAGGTTACCATAGTGGCTCGGAAACGGAGACGCAGCACATAGGTCAGCAGCGAGCAACTGAGCACGTATGTATGGCAGCACCCTGAACCCTAAACCTAAACCCTAAACTGTTAGGGAACCCTAAACCTTAAACCCTAAACCCTAAACTGTTAGGGAACCCTAAACCTTAAACCCTAAACCCCTAAACCCCCGTACATGCCGACCGACCCACCGACCGATGCCTCATGGGGCCTTTTATACTATAATCATGATAAGGAACCCCTAAAATAGTAAAGGTAATTATAATAAGGAACCGTTAAAATAGTATAGGTAATTATTTAGGTCCCTATACTAGAGTCTCGAATTAAGGACTTCCAGACGCCTGCTTTCTCCTGTTGCCGGGCTGCAAACCTTTCGAGAAGGCTCTGCAGGGTTCTTGAATTAAGGTTGGGGGTGCGAAGGAGGTGGGGAGCAGGGGCGGGTGGAGCTTTGTTAATTTTGCTGGTTTTGGTGGACGTGAGTTTCCTGCAACAGCCAAGATTTTAAGATGGTGGCGAACCACCTTGGGCTCGACACACCTCTCTCTCTCTCTCTCTCTCTCTCTCTCTCACACACACACACTCACACTCACTCAAAATAGTTGAGCAACTCTGCCAGTGAGATCTGCTGGGCGTGCAGGGTGATCCAAAGTCTTGAACTGTCATATGGGTAGTTCTCTACAGTAGGATCCTTTTGGGCACCCCGAAAACAAGGACCCTAAAAAGTACCTTAATTAATTTAGAAGGTACTTTAATTTAGAGAACTACCCATATGTAGGTTGCCAGGCCCTGTTCAGTGCTGCCTGCGCAAGTGCCTAGCCGCAAGAAAGCATCGTAGCTGTCCGTCAAGACTTCCGATTGCCTTCCCCAGAGACTCCAACATCCCTTAATTAAGAATGCAGCTTGAATTGTAGTAGGATCCCCAACATGATTTACGAGATATACCTTACTTAAGGGATATTGGAGTCTCTGGGTATCTGCATGCTTGCCCGTCGTGGCGATTGATGTGTTCGTTGTGTTATGCCCTGTGCACTGAGGCTGCGATCATCTTGGAACATTTCTATACTCGTTCATCCTCCAGCAAGTGCGAATGGGCGACACATATGAGGCGCTCACCTGACTAGAACTTTTGACGCTTCAAGACTATGATTATCACTGTTTTTGTCCTGCGCCCCTTTCCCAGTTGGCCGGTGTCGTCTGGTTCTGGGCGCCGACATTTGGCAAGCATCCAGTCGACAGCAGCAGTGCTTCTTCGAAAGGTGGCGGGGGTGAAGCTTTGGGTTCAAGCTTCGAAGTTCCATGCGACAGATATGTTTACATGGCGCGGCCGCATGTTTGCCAACCTGTTTGCAGCATCAGCGCTAAATACTTGCAGTGGCCATACAAAGTTAAACTCCACCGTTGATGGTTTTATTTTATCAGACTACAAGTTGTCATCCTTGCATACCGTTGAGAACCCTAAACCCTAAACCCTAAACCTTGTACCCTAGACCATTTACCCGAAACCCGTTCTGGCTCCCAGACGGAAAAGAGCTCCCGGACAACACAAAAATCCTAAACCCTGCAAGCCCCCCCCAAAAAAAAAACAAAAAAAAAGCAAGCCCCAAAAACCCTGAGACCTCAAATACCATAAGCTCTTCTTAGAGCCCCCAGCTACACTAGACCAGGCTAGATGTAAGAAAACTCTGCTTGGAGCCTTATACACCCCTTAAACCGCATATAAGGCCTAAAACCCCGAAGCGGTATTTTTGCACCCCAAGGCCCTAAAAGAATGAACGCCTGAAGCCGAGACCATAGTCATAGCAATAGCGACTTCTTAGCATCAGTAATAGTAATTAGTCTGAGTCTTAGTATTTGTCAAGGTATTCTGAAAAGAGAGAGAGAGAGAGAGAGAGAGAGAGAGAGAGAGAGAGCGCGAGAGAGAGAGAGAGAGAGATAGAGATAGAGATAGAGAGAGAGAGGGACCCCTAGCGCCGTCTTGGAGTTTGGCACCTCCGAGGAGAGTCCCTTCAACTCGGCCTTCTGAAGCCTTGATAGAAACCTTCAGCAATGCGTGTGAAACCCATGTAACCGTTGTAAAGCCGTCCCGAGGCCCCATGTACTCACTTTGGGCGTTGCATCGAGCGTAAAATCCTAAATGTGGCAATCCTCGAGGACCCTGGTGTTTATCGCCTCCCGCATCATCGCCAACTTGATGGGCCTCGTGCCAGGTCCAAAGGGTCAGAAGTAGACTTACGTCCTGAAAGGGAGAACTTCAGGCTTATTCGGTCTTTACAGCAAGCTTGTTTTTTTTGTGCTGGCTATTGGAGAAAAGAGTTTGCATGCATGGTGCAAAGTGGGGTGCTTGGGTGCTAGTTCCGGGAAGACTCTCAACCATAGACACTAAACCACTACCTGCACCCTCATGCTTACAACCCTGCATTGCCCATTCAAGATTTTGTGCAAGTGTCCCCCCGAATACCAGTTTAGTAAGCTACGATGTGTCTGGAGGTTGTCTTGGGTCTTTGACCTTTACAAGCCGGGATTGCAGTCTCTTTGGTTTTGGTTTAGTGTAGTTATAGTACCCTTAGCCTGATAGATCTCTTATAGTACCCCTTATAGACCCCTTTAAAGGAACCTTACTCTAACACCCAAAAGCCCCCCCCCCCCCCCCCTAGAGTAGACTTTTCTCACGGAGGTATGATTGCTGGACTGCCGACCACCTCCATGTTCTTCTTCCAGGGCCTCTTCTATGTTCCTAGCTTCTATAAGGGATCCTTAAAGGGCTCTTTAAAGGGTTCTACAAAGGATCTATATTGTGGGGGTCTGCTAGTTTCCAGGGGCTGGGTTTCGGGTATACTGTATAGGGTTTAGGGTTCCCTGCATGCAGCGTTTGAAGTGTAGGATTGTTGGGCTTAGGGTTTTGGATTCCTGCCAGGGTTGGCTTCCTATGAGGTTTCCACCAGGTTTCTACAAGAGGGTTCTAAAGTCTAACCCTAAGGTCTAAGGACTCATATTTTCAGGCTTTTGGCCCTAAAGACCATATCATATGAGGCTTTTAGGCCGTTTGAGCCTTAGGGTAAAGAGGTTCCAGGGACTAAGGTTTAGGGTTTCGGGTTTGAGGTTCAGCAGGGGTCAGGGTATAGGGTTGGAGGTTCAGTTTTGGGCTCTTCGGGCTGGCGTTTAGAACATGACTGGTCAAGCGCTTAGGCGGCTGGTATTGCAAAGTTTGGCCCTGAACCCTAAGCCCTTCATATTAGGCTCCTGAGTAGCAGCCTGATGCTCTTTGTATTTTGGGGTCTCCTTATTGAACCAGAATATACGAAAACAGGGTGCCGGTTTCAGAAAGAGGGGGTCCGAAGCTAGATCCCCATGCAGTGGGGTCCGTTTGATCAGCAAAATGTAATCTCAATTTAACGGAGGTTGGGGCGTTTAGGGTTTAGGGTTCAGGGTGTTGAAGTCAGGGTTTCCGCGATACACTAGAACAAACAGCATCCGTCAAATTACATGAGGTGCAACATGGCAGAACTGGAAGGGCCCTTTTAGGCAGGATTCTCCAACCCTTCGGCCCGTTATAAGAAAACGTATTCGAAGTCCAGAAAACAGATGCGGTGATACAATACCTAGAATCTTGTTTCGACTGCTGAGGGCCCTATGCTAGGGCGCTAAAGTACCCGTATAGATTCCTTCAACGGTCCCTTATGTACGCTTAGCGGAACGGTTACCATAGAGGAAGGTTTAGGCCCCCATTTTTCTGTTATTTACCATGGGTCCGTAGAAGCGAAGATTTCGTCTTGGCCCCGAGCCGAGTTCCGCTGGCGGCGAGAACTGCGACGCAAAATCGCTGAAGATGCCGAGGAGGCGCGGAGTAGTTGGAATAGGGTTTTGGCCTCGCACTTATCATAGAAGACTTAGTGAGTGAGTGGTCCTAATCCCAACTTTAAGCTTGGGTGTTGAAGTCAATTTTACAACTTTAAGCTCAGGTATTTGGCAGGTAAGGGGATCAGTAAGGGGGCTAGAGGAACACAGCTAAGCTGCTGAACTAGAGAGAAACAGCAAGCCGTGTGCTCTCCCCATTATGATAGCAGCGATTCGTCAACCACCGGAACTCCAAAAGCATGTCAGTGTAGGACTTGGCGCCATGTTCCTTAACGAAACAAGACGAGTTTAGCATGCTCATCGGCCATCTGTGGCAGGACCAATGTTTCTCCGACTTCCTTCTCTACAGCTGCTGCGCACCGTGCTTGGCCACGCAGGAGCCGGGTTGCATGTATGGGCTGTTGTCTGTGGGACCTACGACAGATCATATATATATATATATATATATATAGATATAAATATATACATACGCATACGTGTCTGTTATTGTTCGTTTTTCTATAACCATTGTTTTGGTTATGTATATGTACTTGCGAACCTCTTTATAGCAGGCTACCGTAGCAGCCCATAACACAGACAGCTTGACTTCTATAGTGCATCTTTGCGGCAGCCACAAGGAAGAACCCGGCACCTTATCGTCTTGTCTGTCCATATTAGAGAGCAGTGTTGAGGGCATGCCAAGTTTGCGACTGCGCTATTTTAGCAGGGCCGGCAGGTATCGTTTGGTTCTTAAGGTTTATAGGGTTTGGGGGCTTGGTGTCTGTAATTTGTTGCTAAACCTTTACGGAGCCCATGTTTCAGACGTCTTGCCCACAGCTCCCTCTTGCTGTCATGTGGGGACCTTCCGCTTCCGAGCTGGCGGAGCATCGTCAAAGATTGCTCTGGTCCTTCGTTTGCACAGCCGCTTGAAGTAGCCAGGTCCCCAAGCCTCTAGTGGTGCTAGGACGTTCAAGAACAGAACGGAACTGCACGCAGAGGTCTGGTACAACCGAACCAGTCCCAAAAAGGAACTACTTTGGGGCCTTTGGTTAAGGCCCGTTAAGGCCCATAGCAAAACCTTGTCAAACCCCCGTAGAGAGCTTGAAGACCCCCACATTATCTCGGAGGAAGCGGTTGAGGTCGACTCGCTTACCGGTGAAGCTGTCGGTTGCTTCAATCTCGAGGCCCCTGTGGCAGTTGCCTTGCAGTAGAGGCCAGAAAGTTGGAATATCATTATCGTAACCCCTTAAAGGTAAATTATAGGGGATCCTACCATTAATCCATATTCCAACTTTCTGGAGTTCCCTTTAACCCCGAAAGTTTGGTCTCTTGGTGCTTCAGGCAGATTTTGTCGGTTTTTTGCGACATCGACATGGGCCAGGATGTAGCCTAGAAGTAGACTGCACCCTTCCTACTCGCATATGATCTTACGATAAACAGCCCAGCGTTCTTGGAGGCACAGCAACCGGGTAAACACTACATCCACCCAAGTTTGGACTTGCTTAAACCACTGGTTTAGGCGGGTTAAGGTATTCCCTAAACCCTACACCCCAAAACCTAGAAAACCTAAACCTGAACCCTCTACCCGAAAAATTCGCCGAGAGGTAGTGGGGCAGCCTCTGATGGCCCGGTGAGCACGTGTGGCGAAGCCTTTGCAGCAGTCACATCGAACTTGCTCGCGAGTAAACACTGCAGAACCCGAGGGTCCATGTACTCTGTATACATGTCTTAGGGGTACTTAGCAACCTTTTTTCATTTTTTGGTTATTGTAATCCCTAAGAAACAGCTAAAAGTATTTGTTTGCCAGGGTTCTAAGTTCAGTATACATGTGGGTTTGGGGATTCAGGATTCACATCTTATCTACTTGTCAAGCTTTCGTCGGGGTCCAGAGGGACTCATACTTTCAAGGCTTTTCGGCCCAGGGACCATACGCATGTTACCGCGCCATATGGCCTTAGGGTAAGTGTTCCTTTCGATTTTGGTCACGACATGTGCACTACTTGGGTCCTCCGGGTGAGAACTTCGCGCCCGCTTGCTGCGATTCGGCCCAAACTGTGGACCCTGGAGGGGTTCACCGTGCCTGCGGTGCAGGGTCTCGGGGCTGGTGCGTGTGTATGTCTAATATAGGGGCTTAAATAATTACCAGGACTATTTTGGGGGTTCCTTGTTATCACAAATTATGGCACAATTGGGCCCCCAAACCCTATCCTAATTATTAACGCCCATATATAGTAACGCAGGAGTAGAAAACATGGCTTCCCATAATTTCATTCAGAATATGGACTATTGGTTCCCACTGCTGGCCAGACCGCGCTCAGATGGAAAGTCGCCAACAGTCGTCGTGCCACAGACCTAATCTTGTCAGGCGCTCGATGGTCTCAACTGTTAATGTCTTCCAGGAGACCAGGAGAGTTGCCGCCCTGAATATACCCAAGCATCACATTGGGATTGCTGCATGCGAGTCAGAGAATGAATTGATGGTCCTTTTTCAAGCGATGTCGAATGCTGATTTGCCACTTTTACTGAAAGAACTTGACACTGAGAAAACAATCAGCCCCAGTCTGGGGTTCCTCGAATCTGCAGGAGGCAGTCTCAACAGTTAGGAAAATTCCCTAAGGGTCCATGCACCTAAATAGTATATACTTTGGCCTTAAAGTGCTCCCTAAACAGGTACTTTGGGGCCAAAGAAAATACTATTTGGGTACATGGACCCGTAGGGTAAACGCCAAACCTGCAGAGCTTGTGACAAAAAACAAGTAAACGCCAAACCTGCAGAGCTTGTGACAAAAAACAACACACGACCACATAAGCCGCAATAAACAACGAGACGCTCAACATAAGACATAAGCCCGGGTCTTTCACGAGGATGTCGGGTTTTTAAGTGCGTGGCGCAGCCCTTAAATAGTTGTGGGAGTGACATTACAGTAGAGCCCAACAGTTGGAATCCCACTAGCTTCAATCCTTAAGAGTAGTACATAAGGAATCCGAGCACTAATTGTCCTGAATCCTAATCCGGTTTCCAACTTTTTTTGAGGTCTACTATCATCCCACAGCCTTGAACCTTGAGAGAGCTGTTAAAACCCTATCTCAGACACTTTGTGCCTGAAACTTACCTTTGGTTAGTAGGGAATGAAGAATGGTAGTAACAGTAGTTATAGTTGTACTCCATTCCTCCATTCCCTACTAACCAAAGGTAAGGAAAACGGCTAAGACCGACGGCCGACGGCGCCCCCGGGTTTCGGGATTTGTGCAATGGAGCAAAGTCTCCTCCTGTCTGAAGCCTCGAACGAACAAAGCAAAGAGAGAAATCGCACGGCCAAAAACATGCGTCTAACTATTTTGTAACCTATCGAGCTATCTATTTACCTATGTATCTTTCGACCTGTTTATCTGCGAGTATGTATGTAGGTATGTATACATATATGTTGATATGTATGTATACTAGTTTCTATTTAGCAGCTGCACACACAAGCACACGGCCATCACTCGTGCATAATCAGCCAACAATATGTTCGACATTGGCACCCTCAGCCTTCTCCTAAGAATCCTCTCAGGAGAAGCTCCGACTTGATTCCACATCGTAGTCCCTCTCTGCCGTTCCTGAATGCACAAAAAGGGTTTGCATTGGGCGCCGTAGTGGGCTCTGAGTAGATGAGTGAACTTCAAGAAGTATATACTATACTGCTACTTGGACCCTGAGGCAAGTTGCAGTGTCAGGGAGTCTGTAGCCCCGACTCTCAACCCAACAAACTCTTGATGCAGCCCTGCACACGAACGTTTTGGCAGGACAAGTTTTGCTGACAGCTCAAGTAGCGGTTACGTGCAGTGTCAGCTAACTAATATAATATTTTTGCGAGCTCTGCGTGGAAAGCTTTCATTTAATGTATAGTTACGTAGTATGCAGGGGACTCGTCGGCAGGTCGTTGGCAGGTAGGCATGCAGGCAGGCAGGCATTCAGGCAGGTAGGTAGTAGTAATTATCAGCAGCGGTAGTGGTGGTCACAGTCGTCTTCATAGCTGCGAGTTCTAGAGTCGTGCACATATTCGTATAGTCATAGTCGTAGTAGTCGTCGTCGTCGTAGAAGCAGCAGCAACAGGAACAGCAGCAGCAGCAGTCGTGGCAGTGGTGGTGGTCATAGTAATCGTCGTCGTGATGGGGGGCAGTAGTAGTAGAAGGACCACTGGTACAGTAGCACTTGTCGCAATGTTTGCTGTAGTCGTAGCAGCAAAAATGAGTACTTGTGGCAAGGTGACAGTAGCAATAAAGCAGCTGTACTCCGCATCGTCAACTTCGTCATCGCCAGTGTCATAACAGCACTGTATGTCCATTCCGGGAGCTTCAGCGACAATTGCGAAGCAGTAGTAGTAGAGCTAAGACCAACACGACCACGAACTTTTGAGTTTGTTTCTAACACTGATCGGTAATGCGAGCAGACCATGACCAATGATCACAATTGGTGTATCATCATACATACTGCATGCAGTTGACAGGAAGCGTCCGCCGCGGGTCACGCTGGGGCACCGAAAGAAGGTGCTGCTGTGGGTCGGTGATTCGGGGTGTTCGGCTTGAAGTTTCAACGCCGGGGTTTTCGAGGATTTGGCTTCAGGGCGGATTAGAGCTTACCGGGCTTTGTAGGGTTTAATATAGCAGGCTTATACATGCCTAAACTATTTTGCGGGTTCCTTATCAGTTGTAACTACGGAATAATGGGCTCAGAAACCCTATTCTAATTACTAAGACCAATATATGATTGTTCTGGCTTGGTCATGGCCAGTGTGTCGGCACTTGGCTTCTGGCCAAAGAAATCCAAGAAATGGAGAGCTCATCGTTGGTACTGCTAGTGCTGCCATGTACAGTACCCCTACGGTTGCCGTAAAGACTTTCATCACGTAGTAGAATGATGAATGTTGATGGATGGAAATCTCGGGTTCCCCCTCCCCGAGACCTCACGGCAGGTTGTGGTTTCTTCACGCTGGGGATAGAGTCAGGCGCGATGACGAGTATTGGCAAGCATGAAATGCTACTGTTCGCAACATGAGGCATGGTTACACATGGGAGTGTCCGAAAACCAGGGGTACCTTATTTGGCTTCCTTATAATAAGGGTCCTACTATTTAGGGGACTTAAATTGGGGTCCCCTATTTTCGGAAACTCCCACATGGTGCAGAGATCTGAGAGTGAATGATGCTGCACACACATCAGTCTGAAATCGGCTGTTCTCCTTGCGGTCGGCGACACAGGGATGGATACAAGCGTTCACCGACTAGGTGGTAAGTTCTTGAGTCAAGCTTTCTATACCCGAAGCAGCTACCCCGAATCAGTTGCCGTTCCAGTGATGTCACCCTAAGGGTCCATGTACCTACATAGTGTCAGGAGCTTATATAAAGGCTACTTTAAGGCCAGTGCATATCTTATATGAGTACATGGGCCCTTCAACCCTAAACCCTAAACCCTTGTGGTACCCTTGTAGAACCCTTATGGTATCCTCAGAAGGAGGACCTACGTTGGTACATGGACCCTTAGGGCCATACTTCAACTAACCACTGCCAAGGCTGGCATAGCGTTCACAGCAAAAACTCAAAGCCCCACAAGCCCAAAGCCCGAAACCCAAAATGAAACCCTTGAAACCCTAAAGCTCTGAATGCTAAAGCCCTCCCAGACCCCCGGGAGGATCTAGAAAGTAGATCTCCTAATTTGGGGCCCTATACTGCTAAGGGTACTTTTTAGGAATCCCCATTAAGGGATCTATTTTTTGGATCCTCCCGGGGGTCTGGGCTGAAGCTCCAAAATTTGAGTTCTCCAGGTGCCTTCTTGCTTCAAACCTGCCTGCTGCCTGCCGCTGGCATGCAACGACAGCCTTCAACACAGACTCAGAGTCAGGACCAACTTACCGGGCTTACAGAAGAAGATAAAGCCAAAAGACCAATATACCAATATAGGGGCCTTAGTAATTAGATTAGGGGTTCCGGGCCCCATTATTCCATAGTCAGGACCCACTTACCGGTCTTACAGTTATACGGCTGTGGGTATTGGATTTCGGGTTTTGTATGTGAGGTTTCTGAAAGGGTTTTAGGGTTAACACGGCTGAGGGCTTACAGTTTGGGGTTTCGGTTTTTGTAGGTTACATAGGTAGCATTATCAGGGAGACCCCATGGCAGGGACCCGTCTCTCTCTGGCTCTCTCTCTCTCTCTCTCTCTCTCTCTCTCTCTCTCTCTCTCTTGAAAGGGACCTCATTGAGAGGGTCTGTATTCCCGAGGGCCCCCCTAATCCTAAGTCCGAGGCAAGGTTTCTGTAAGGGTTTTATATGGGCTTTGAGGGCTTTAAGGTTCGGGTATAGAGCTGCGGCGTTAGCCGTTAGTGTGATTTAAGAGTTTCGGTTGTGGGTTCAGGGTT